TATAATGTATTATTAGCCCCAGGGGTACAGGTCTGTGAATTGCCAGGTTTACATACTTCACAGCACTCAACAGAGCACATACCTTCCCCAGAGTCCATAACCCAACCACCCTCTCCCTACCCCACTAATTTTTTTTTTAAGTTTATTTATTTAAGTAATCTCTGCACCCAGTGGGCTCAGACTCAGGACACTGAGATCAAGAGTTACATGCTCTTCCAACTGAGCCTGGTAGGCTCCCCAACAAACCTGATTTTTAAAAAGAAGAGTCCTAAAAAAAATAAAAAATAAATAAAAAAAAAAGGGAAGAGTTCTTAGTCATTCTTTAAGGATTCTAGGAAGCTATTTTAAAAACTAGTAATTGACAGACTCAGGCATTTATTTCATCTCTTATGTTAAACTGTATCTCAAGCATAACTAAGTAGTCAAGATAGGGATGAATTTGGAGCCCATCTATAAGTATTTTTTGGTATTATATTTTACCACCTCCAGTTGTCAGCTTCTCTGCCATTAAAAATAACATTTTTCTTTTTCTCTGGTTTGCTACGTATGATTCACTTGCATTGGGAAGCCAGATTAATAAAATTATTATTCTGAAAAATAAAGGACAGTATATTAGAATTATCTATTTCTGTTTTATTTCTTGATTTAGGGGTGTATTCTGGTATCCCTCATGCTTAAATGATTTGTTACCAGTATTCTGTTTGAATGTGGCTGAACACACGTATACTTTCTGCACTGAGATTAAATTCTTTGGATTAATTTTGCTGTGCAAAATGAAACATGTTCAGAAAACTCAGTGTGTGCTTAATATAGGTATCATTTTGAATATCAGTCATACTGTGTTAATACTTACTGAATTAAAGAACACAGTGTTCTCAAAATCATTCCAGAGACCAGATGAATAGAGAAGTATATGGGAACTACCCTTTTAAAAATTATTGAGTTTCTTATTTCATCTTATTTTAGTATTGCCCAAGTTTATTCTCAGAGAATAGGGTATTTGACTTAACATGGTGGTCTCCTTAAAAGTTCATGACTTCAGCACACTTCTTCACTTTGAAGAAACTGAAAAAGTGTGTTAACTACCATAGCTATTTCAATAACTGATGCTAGAGGCAACCACTGGGTTGGGCGAGACTGTCATTAAACTGTGCCTTTGGTTTACTTGTTATTTTCATCATGGAAAGGAAAATCTTTAATTTATTTCATTGCTTAACCAGTCCCACATTTTAAGATAAAACTGTCCTTTTTCCAAAACTGTTATTAAAAGAGGCTGGAAAAAAATAATAAAGAGGCTGGAAACAGATTCTGGTCTGATGTTGATGTTTTGTTGGCATTTCATCCCTCTTTTTGTTAAATGAAACTCATTTAACCCCATTTCCAGTTTTCATATTTAAAAAAGTCCTTTGAGGGACGCCTGGGTGGCTCAGTTGGTTGGACGACTGCCTTCGGCTCAGGTCATGATCCCGGAGTCCCGGGATGGAGTCCCGCATCAGGCTCCCGGCTCCATGGGGAGTCTGCTTCTCCCTCTGACCTTCTCCTTGCTCATGCTCTCTCTCACTGTCTCTCTCTCAAATAAATAAATAAAAATCTTAAAAAAAAAAGAAGAAAAAAAAAGTCCTTTGAAATCATACTAGAGATTGAGGAGGATTATTAGTTTTGACTGTCCATTTTATAAGAATTTGAAAGAGGCTTAGGGATGTGATTTTATAGCATACTAATACCTCAGCATTTCTTTGTTTCCCTTTTTACTGACTCATACCATGTTCTAAATGTTACACTTATGTTTCAATAAAACGGAGAACAGTTTTCTTCTTTCCAGTTGCAGCAAGGGAGAACTTTGGGGTTTAATGAATTGCTTTTCTGATTTTAATGGAATAAGGTTAGTTTTGAAAGTAGATCAAAGATAAGTTGCTTGTATGGACCATGGTTTTGCTTACTGTGTTTCTGAAGACCTATTGTAGATAATAACAGGATCTATAGTTTCATAATTTCTCTTCTGAAGTTAATTTTTGATAGATAACAACTGGTGATACTGAATAGCATTCTGTCACCCACTGAGCTTTTTGGGCCTTTTTCTTTTCTTTTAAGATTTTATTTATTTATTCGACAGGGAGATCACAAGTAGGCAGAGAGCAGAGGAAGCAGGCTCTCTGCTGAGCAGAGAGCCCAAAGCGGGGCTTGATCCTAGGACCCTGAGATCACGACCTGAGCCAAAGGCAGAGGCTTAACTCACTGAGCCACCCAGGTACCCCTGGGCCTATTTCAAGAGGAGAAATTATCTATCCCCATTATAGGGAGTTTCCACTCAGTTTCACATGTAGCTTTTAAGGCAACTTGATTAAATAAAATAGCAGTGTATATCTGACTCCATGATTTCTCACTATGGTTTGCCCACAAAATGATTTCCTAATAAAATTGACTACACTGTGTTAAATGTTGGGACAGATACCATACTAAGCACCTTACAGTATTATTTCATTTGTTTTTCACAATAACTTTATGAAATTGATAATATTTCATCCCAGTTTTTGCCAGGGAAGAAACTGATAATTAGAGAAGTTTTACTGGCTCACTGTTAGAAAGCTAATCAAGTGGATGTGCAGGGACTCATATATCTGTCCTACTCCAAAATCTGTTCTTAACCCTGTACTCCAGTCCTTCAAGTTTAGCTCTGCCAATACCATGAAAATCTCAAAACATTCCCATTTATTTTAATTTCATAGGCTTGTTCTTAGAAGCGGTAGAGTGAGGGGCACCTGGATGGTGCAGTTGGTTAAACATTGGACTCTTGGTTTCCTCTTGGATCATGATCTCACAGTCCTAAGATTGAGACCCACCTTGGGCTTCCATGCTCAGGAGGGAGTCTGCTTAAGACTTTCTCTCCCTCTTCCTCTCCCCACCCCTAGTAAAATCTTAGGGATGCCTCGGTGGCTCGGTCCGTTAAGCATACCGCTCTTGGCTTCTCCCTCTGCCTGTCACTCCCCCTCCTTGTGCGCTTGCTCTCTCTCTGATAAATATAATCTTTAAAAATAAATAATGACATACATACATAAATGCATAGAAGTGGTAAAGTGAGAAAGAAATCATGAGAGTTTATTATTAGGCATAGTAACTCAAAATTACGTTGCCGCGCTGAAGAGTGGAGAATAGGTACAGAAGTAAAACCAAGAGCTGAGATTTGTAGATATTGTTTGTTCCTTTATACAACAGATAAAAACAAAGCAGGACAATTTAAAATCTCCATTTATAGGAATCTTAACTGTGGATAGTCATTAACTTTTTTACAAGTGTTTTCACAGATGAATACGTACTGTTAGTTGATGCTTTGAAAACTTGAGGTTATGTTACCTCTCCCTTTGAAACATTACTTTTGTCCATTGGCCTAGAGAAGTGTTTGAAAATGTTAAGTGTGACCTGTTAGTGCTTCATAAAATAAGTATACTGCGTCATGACCGTCTTCTGTAACAGCACATAACTTTATCTCATTCTTTTTTTTTTTTAATATTTTATTTATTTATTTGAAAGACTGAGATCTCAAGTAGGCAGAGAGGCAGGCAGAGAGAAGGGGGAAGCAGGCTCTCTGCTGAGCAGAGAGCCCGACATGGGGCTTGATCCCAGGACCCTGGGACCATGACCCGAGCTGAAGGCAGAGGGTTTAACCCACTGAGCCACCCAGGCACCCCTATCTCACTCTTTTTCATGGGTGTATAGTGTTCAATTATGGAAGTTTATCATAATTTACTTAATTACTCTGATGTATACCATTTGATTGTTTCTAGTTTTTTTTTTTATAAAGCTATAGAAAATATTTTTGTCACATATTTTTGTATACTCATGAGTAGGACATTGCTTATTCAAAGTGGAATTACTTTGAAGATACACATTTAAATTTTTTTTTTAAAAGATTTTATTTATTTATTTGACAGAGAGATCACAAGTAGGCAGAGAGGCAGGCAGATAGAGAGGAAGGGAAGCAGGCTCCCTGCTGAGCAGAGAGCCCGATGCGGGACTCGATCCCAGGACCCTGAGATCATGACCCGAGCCGAAGGCAGCGGCCTAACCCACTGAGCCACCCAGGCGCCCACATTTAAATTTTTTAAATGTAATTTTATTTTTTAAAGTAAGCTCTGTGTCCAACATAGAACTTGAACTCACGACCTTGAGATCAAGAGTCACATGCTCCACTGAGCCAGCCGGGAGCCCCTAAATTTTTAATAATATCGCCAAATTGGACTTCAAAATGTACTGATTTATCACCACCTATATATAAAAGTGCCTATTTCTGGGGACACCTGGGTGGCTTAGTCTGTTAAGCATCTGTCTTTGGCTTAGGTTATGATCCTAGGGTCCTAGGATTGAGTCCTGCATTGGGCTCCTTGCTGAGCGCAGGGCCTGCTTCTCCCTCTGCCTGCCTCTTCTTCCCGCTTGTATGCTTTCTCTCTCTCTGATGAATGAATAAAATCTTTTTTAAAAAATGCCTATTTCGGACGCCTGGGTGGCTCAGTTGCTAAGCGTCTGCCTTCGGCTCGGGTCATGATCAAGGGTCCTGGGATCGAGACCCACATCGGGCTCCCAGCTTGGCGGGAGACCTGCTTCTCCCTCTCCCACTCCCACTGTTTGTGTTCCCTCTCTCGCTGTGTTTCTCCCTGTCAAATAAAAAATAAAATTTAAAAAAAAAATGCCTATTTCCCCATGTCCTTGTTAATGCTATGCATTGTTATTATTAGAGTTTATACTTTTCATGTTTTTTTGTTTGTTTTAACTTTTGTGATCTATAGATGAAAAGCTACAAAAGTCCTCTTAGAGTTGCAGTTTATTTTTTATTTTTATTTTTTAAAGATTTTATTTATTTGAGATTTAAAGATGGATGGCACTATCAGTAAATGTGGCTTCAAAGCTGTGATGAAATGGTGCTATAAATGTAAAATGTCACTGAAATGACCACAGCTTGACAATCTCCTCTACCTTACCTTGATCCCTTTTTCTCTTAATTTAAGGTGATCATGGAGCTCAGCTTGGCCTCCATGGGGCTGGTGGTGATGGAATACATGATGACACAGCAGGTGGAGAAGAAGGGGAAAACAGCCCAGATCCACAGCCCCAAGCTGGTCGGAGGACCCGGCGGGAAGCATGCACCTGCCCCTACTGTAAAGACAGTGAAGGAAGGTAAGTTGACCCAGTCAGGCCAGTCTCTTAAGAGTATAAAGGAGAAAAATTAATGGATTTGGAGGTAAGCAAAAGAAGGTTAATTTTTTAACATTTAGGACTTGGCAGTGTTGCAGAGGAACCAGAGATAGTACAATACATTTGATTGGGTTATATTATAGGATTTTGGTTCCAGCTCTGATCCTTTCATCTACTCTAAGACCTTGGGCCTTAATAGGTGCCTGCCTTCTGCAAAGATAAGGTTAAAATCACATGGAGCCAACTGGTCAGGTGATTGTTACCATATGTCTGTTTTGAGATGGTTTAACAAGGTTGCTTATAAAATAGTCTTGCAAAGAAAAGGAAACATACTTACTATAATGATTTTTTATAGTGATTGTGTGAGAATCCTAAGGGTTTACAGAGTTTTATTTTCCCTCACAATAGACAGAAATACTTACTCCAGATAGAAAATTCTTCCATCATAGAATCAAATGTGTCCTACAGAACAAAGTTTTGGCAAAATTTTCTTATTAGTAAAATATTTAGTTTTACTCAGTATTATCTCTGGAAATTTCCACATTATATTCTTTTTCGTTAACTTACCGCTTTTGAAAGAAAATAGAAAGCCATACAGATTTTTTTAATGCCTTTGGAAAAAAATCTTGTTTAAGTTTTGTCCCAACAAAATAAGCACAAAGATACAAAAAGATACAAAAATAAGAAGAGCACCAAAACTAAATATAATTTGAGTCCTTTTTAGGTTAACCCTACATTACAGGAAAAATCCGAATCAGAAGCACTGAGGGATACCTGACTGGCTCAGTCAGTGGAACGTGTGACTCCTGATCTTTGGGTTGTAAGTTCGAGCCCCATGTTGGGTGTAGAGATTACTTAAAAATAATAAAATCTTTAAAAAACAAAACAAAAACCACTGAGTACAATAGAGTTTTCATCTAACAAAACGTAAAGTGGATTTAAATTTTCAAAGGAAACTCTGATTTCCACCTAAGTGTGATTTCATTTCTGTTATGGTTTTTCCCCCCTCTGCTCTTAAAACCCAAGAAAAGTCCCTCTTAGAAATCTCCCCAGTGCCCACTAATGGATCACACATGGAACAAATTGGTTTGGCAAAAACATTTCAGAGCTGATTCCAGGGAGGAGCTTAGGAACTGCTTCATATAGGGGATATATGTATATAATTTTTTTTTTTTACATCTCCCCCCTTTTTTTTAACATACCTTGAATTAGGGTTTTTATTCCTCTGATTTAACTTTTATCCAGCCCATCTTCTTCTACTCTGAAGTCCCTGATAGTGCTCCAGCTTTTCAGCTTCTAATCTTCACCATTTGGCTCTTGACCTTTATTTTAGGAAATAGGTTCATAGTTGTAAAGTATCATGTTTCTTTTTTTTTTTTTTTTTTAAGATTTTATTTATTTATCTGACAGACAGAGATCAGAAGCAGGCAGAGAGGCAGGCGGAGAGAGAGAGAAGGAAGCAGGCTCTCCGCCGAGCAGAGAGTCCGATGTGGGGCTCGATCCCAGGACCCTGAGACCATGACCCAAGCCGAAGGCAGAGGCCTTAACCCACTGAGCCACCCAGGCGCCCCAAGTATCATGTTTCTTTAAAGTTCTCCACCAGGTGTTTAAATGGAGAGACCTTTTGGTCCTTAAGTACGTCCCCAGCCAAAAATGTACCATATTCACTGTTCCCATGGAAAATGCTTATGTTGAGATTAAACTTTGTGAAAAACACAAGAAAATGCCTCACAGACTTTACAAGTCTTGAGAGCAGTTAATCTCTTCACATGTCAAACATCAGAAGGATTAAGGAGTAGAAAAACAGGAAAGAGTAAATATCCAGTAGAGAGGAAACTTAAAACTTGAATTTGGGGTATTAAGAATCAGAATCAACTAAAGATTTATCTTTTTACTTTATTTTATTTACTTATTTAGAGAATGTGAGTGGGGGTAAGGGTAGAAGGAGAGGGAGAATTTCAAGCAGACTCCATGCTGAGTGCAGAGCCCAATGTGGGACTTCATTTCACTACCCGGAGACCATGACCAGAACCTAAATCAAAGTCAGATGCTTAACCGATTGAGCTGCCCAGGCACCCCTAAAGATTTATCTTTTGGTACTAAAGAGAAGTCTTCTCTTCTCTTCTTTCTTTTCTTTTCTTTTCTTTTTCTTTCTTTTTTTTTTTTTTTTTTTTTTAAGTAAACTCTACCCCCAACACGAGGATCGAGTTTGTGACCCCAGGATCAAGAGTTGCATCCTCTACTGACTGAGCCAGCCAGGTGCCCCAAGAGAAGCCTTTTTTTTTTTTTCTTTTTTTTTTAAATAAAAATTTGGGTTAGTTTTGAGTGGGTCAGGTAATAAATGCTGACACTGGGGTTCTTTTTGTCTCTGGAATGCATGATGAATAGTTGTGTTCTTATTTTTAGGGGCTCTGGGGATCCTGGCAAAAAGAAACAGCACATTTGCCACATCCAAGGCTGTGGCAAAGTATATGGCAAGACCTCACACCTACGGGCACACTTGCGCTGGCATACAGGCGAGAGGCCATTCATGTGTACCTGGTCATACTGTGGGAAACGCTTTACACGTTCGGATGAGCTACAGAGACACAAACGTACACACACAGGTGAGGAGGAGCCTGGGAAGAGAAAAATGGTAATAGAATAGAAAACACAGAATGTATCTATGAAATAATTAAATTTCTGAGCAACTTAAGTTTGAAAGTGAATGGGTAGAACATAAATGGAATTGGAGTTAATCTGGAAAAATTTTCAGAAGGAAGGGGCTAGGTTTTTAGTGGTTTGTTTGTTTTTTTTTAAGGATTTTATTTATTTATTTGACAGACAGAGATTACAAGTAGAAAGAGAGGCAGGCAGAGAGAGAGGGAGAAGCAAGCTCCCTGCTGAGCAGAGAGCCAGATGCGGGGCTGGATCCCAGGACCCTGGAATCATGACCTGAGCCAAAGGCAGAGGCTTTAACCCACTGAGCCACCCAGGTGCCCCTCAGTGGGATTTTTAAAGGAAGATCATGGCCCCATTATTATTCTTAGTCTCAGTCCTGCCTTACTTTTCTGCTATAGTCCTTCCTTTCTTTTTTTTTTTTTTTTTTTTTTTTTTAAGATTTTTTTTTTAAGATTTTATTTATTTGACAGAGAGAGATCACAAGTAGACAGAGAGGCAGGCAGAGAGAGTGGGGGAAGCAGGCTCCCCACAGAGCAGAGAGCCCAACATGGGGCTCAATCCCAGGACCTGAGACCATGACCTGAGCCAAAGGCAGAGGCCTAACCCAGTGAGCCAGCCAGGCGCTCCTCTTTTTTTTTTTTTTTTTTTTTTTTAAGTTTTTATTTACTTATTTGACAGAAATCACAAGTAGGCAGAGAGAGGGGGAAGCAGGCTCCCTGCTGAACAGAGAGCCCGATGTGGGGCTCGATCCCAGGACCCTGAGATCATGACCTGAGCTGAAGGTAGAGGCTTAACTCACTGAGCCACCCAGGCGCGCCTAGTCCTTCCTTTCTGAGTAATCTTTGAGCTTTACTTATTTTTCTCCCCCCCACAAAGAAAAAGATACTCAATAGATTTTTCTTGTTTTTATCACCTTCTAAGAGTGCCTGATATTCTGTTTAATGTAGTTTGAAAACAGTGAATTAAACAAGTACCCTGCTTCCTAAGATGTCCGTTTCTTATCTTCTTTCTCTTCTTTTACTAAGGAGAGAAGAAATTTGCCTGCCCTGAGTGTCCCAAGCGCTTCATGAGGAGTGACCACCTGTCGAAGCATATCAAGACCCACCAGAATAAGAAGGGAGGCCCAGGTGTATCCCTGAGCGTGGGCACTTTGCCCCTGGACAGTGGGGCAGGTTCAGAAGGCAGTGGCACTGCCACCCCTTCAGCCCTTATTACCACCAATATGGTAGCCATGGAGGCCATCTGTCCAGAGGGTATTGCCCGTCTTGCCAACAGTGGCATCAACGTCATGCAGGTGGCGGATCTGCAGTCTATTAATATCAGTGGCAATGGCTTCTGAGATGAGGCACCCAGGGCCAGAGACATATGGGCCATACCCATTAACCCTGGGATGCAAGGTAGCATGGGTCCAAGAGACATGTGGGAGAGAGAGCCATGAGGCATTAAAATGCATGGTGGTGGGAAGAATTGGGGGAGGGATACAAGAGAAGAGATGGGGTCTTGGCACCCACCTATATCATCAGTACCTCCTTAAAGTGGGAAACATTAGTGAAAATTCTGTTGGTGCCACCCTTTGATGAGCATTTGTTTGACCCCAACCAGTTTCTTAGACTTCTTACCCCAGCCTCCCCTTCCTGCATTTCCCTTCTCAGCTCCCCCATGATGGATCCCCCCCTTTCCTAAAGCCATCATGCCTTGATAAATATATATGATCATTGAAATACTTTTTAACAAAAAAACAGATTCTATATTATATATATATTATATATATATATATAAAAGATATATAGAGATGCATTTGCAGGGGTTGGCTGGGAGGAGGAAGGAGACCATTCTGTGACCAAAATACCTTGGTCATTTTTTTATATTGCCTTATTTCCCTATGGCTGAGCCTTGTTGTGACACATCAAGCTTTTCTATAGATGTTGTCTTGGCTTCCCACCAGATTAAGCATTCATATGCTCTGCTTTTAGTTTATATATACATACATAATGTTTTTCCTTTCTTAATTTTGTCTTTTTATTTGGGATCAGCTTCTTGCACTCCTTTCTTGACTCAACCTTTCTGTCTCCCTTTCTCTCACCTGATCACTTTATGTTTTGGTAATGATCCCTGGATGAGGCACTTCTGTCAGTCTTTTAAGGTCCTTGGTCCTAGCAGCGGAATGGAGAGCCCTGAAGCCCAGGCTGATGCTTGAGGTAGCTGTGGAGAGAGTGTTCAAAATACTACTGACGCAGGCACCCTCTTGGCGCTGGAGAGTTCAAGGCATCTCTCCTTATTAGCTGCTCTAAGCATCGAGAGTCTTTCTATGGAGTTGTACAAGAGACCCTTTAAAGGTTATAATCTGGGATCAGTTTGTATAAACTGTCACAAAGTGGTCAAGAAACAGGTAGGGGCTTTCAGTAGGAAAATGATGTGCCCAGAAGTGGAAGTGACTCAGAGTGGTCCCGTTCAGGAGTTAGTGGAGTATTTGGACTTTTGTACAGCTGTCTTCCAAAGTAGCTCTAAGCTTTTTATGGGTTTTTGAGGTCACATTCTGAAAGGAAATGCACTTCCTCTTTTGAACATCCCCCGTAGTTTCTTTTTCATGTTATTAAGGAGCATCAGCCAATGAATCTGTTCCGGGTTTCCATTCTGCAAAACTCCAGAGCATGCACAAGTGGCAAGGCAGTGGTTCTTTGATCTTTTCCCTTAACTCTTCCTTGGGTGGTTCCTAAGGGAAAAGGAAGCACATGATCATGGGAATGATAGCCCAGAACAAAAAGAAATCTTGTCTTACCACTGTGGTTTATAGGAGAGATCAGGAGACACCATCCTGCTTTCTCCATGGCCTGATTCCTGAAGAGACTGATCCAAAAATTATAGCGGCAGGGAACTCTTAGTGCATTTGGCACTGAGATTTAAATGCAACCAGAGTTGTCCTCAAGGCCCAGCCATTAAAACGTTGCCTCTCTTGACCTTCTGGTATCTTGTCGGAGAGCTTTTCACTGTGAGGAAGTATGGAAATGGCTGTGTGTATGTGTGTAATCTGTTAGGTTGGGGATAGGTTTTCTGTTAGCCTATACTAAAAGAGACCTGCAATAAAAAATTGCCCTGATCTGATAGAAAATGAAGTGTTTGTGTATGACTGTGTGTGAATGTGTGTTTGTGCCTGTATATATCTACACACAGATGAGAAATTATATTTGAAATTGTTGGAAAATCAAATTCAGCTCAAAAATGCCTTTCAGGCCCATTACCTAGTAATCTGTCTTAAAACCTGGGTATGTTCCTGAGGTCATTTCTTTGCTTATGCTAAATTAGTAACAATTAATGATGGGGGATATTCAACTGCACTTTTGAAGAAAAATTTTTGTGTTTGAAAGTGAAACCAACATCCAGATCTATACCAGAGTCCTAGTTTCTTTCATAAATCTTTTTACCTTGATTACAAATAGATGATGCTATGATTCTACTATATATTTTGTATCAAATCTATCCAAATTAGGGTCTGGGTAATTTTGTGTTGTTTAACCTGAAATATAATAACTGTTGATACTCTAAACAGTAGTTTGCTCCATTTGGTCCTTTCTCTGCAGACTTAATACACTCAGGAACTATTGCAAGGAACTTTCCCCAGATCAAATTCTGTTAACACTGCAGTAAAAGTCATCCGTGTCCAGCCACTTATCACACCCCCTTTATTCCCACTGAAAGGCAGAACTCAGAACCTGTTATTTTATGTCTATAATCATGTACATAGGCATCTTTTGGAGGAAAGGGGCAGGATAACTCACCAGAGTGTGCAGTATTTTGCTAGAGCATTTCAAGGAATGGAATCTTCCCCAGTATGAAATTAATTTGATACAAACTAGCTTAATGATGCTGAGGACTACAGGTGTTTGGAAGGTTATTTGATGATGATTTTCTCTGGGATGGAATGCTGGTTTACCCTCAACCCCCTTCACGAGCATTGCTGTAAGTGAATTCATAGTCCGTTCTTTCCACTTACCTACCCTCTTTCCTTATCTCCAAGGAAGCTCCAGATCCAGTATCTTGTTTGGCACCCAAACTGAAGCAGCTTCTGCTCTTGTCTCCCAGCAGCAGTGAGCTGCTCAGTCTTTTCCACAGGGAGTTAGGAACCAACATTCCTTGAGTCATGAGCTTATTGCTGAAAATCCCTTTCCCTGAACACTTTGGCCAGCAGAAATTAATGTAACTGACAGGCATATTGATTCTAAAGTTTTTTTCATGAGTTGCTTTTTTATTTAAAATTTTTAAATGACCAAACCTTTGGGGCAGGGGATGCCCAGAGGAGTGGTAATATTAAAACCCTGATTCTCTTGTCCATTCAGTTTGCCCATATACATTCATCTGTGTACCATTTGACTGTCTCACTTTTAACCCAGAGCGGTAACAACCCACACCATCTTCCTTCAGGGACTTCCCAGCTAGCACCCTGTTTGTGGGTGCTGTGCAGAATGCAATTTAATGGATATTTCTCAGCCTGATTCAGAATAAACAGAACCCTTGATCTAGAAAGTATAGACTGAAGTGCGGGGTAAAGATTATGATTGGGGGAGGGTTAGAGACAAAAGCTGTAAATTACTATGGCTGATTGATTTATTTCTACTATATACATATATATATATATATTTTTTGCTTTTGTATATCCTATATAGGAAACTAAGCATTGTATTTTTTTAACAAATCTGAGAAAGCACTATGAACTGCAGATGTTTGACTTTCAGAATATATTTTGTATTGTTAATATCTTCACATTGTGTGAATACTGGAAGTTGCAGATCTTTGCTAGGACGCAATAAATTTATATACTTTTTGAGGGGTTCTTCGGGGTGGTGTTAATCAGGCCCCTGTTATGCTTTGGGGGAGCCCTGGTGCTACTTACTTAGAGTTTTCATTCAATTGTAAGTACCCTGATGCCTTTCGGACCTCGGGATCAGAGCAAATAACTTTTAAGATCCCGGTACCAAGGAAATGCGGATAGTCTAGCTGCCTCAAGTAAGGGGCTCTTAGCATAGCTCTCCTTCCCCCTCTTCAAAGCTGGGTAGCCTCTCGGGGTGGAGAAGAGAAATGTGAAATCTCAGAGTTTCATCTCCCTTAAAAGAGAGCCAGTAAGTTATATGCAAGGATGAAAGGTGGCAGCAGTAGTTTTGGGGAAAGGGAGGAGGATATGGCACTCTTCCAATCCCGGAAAACATTGCTTTTGGAACTTCTGATAAAACATGGGCAGGTTATTACTTTTGTTTGGGAGCCTGTGTTCTCTCTGGTGCCTCTCTTGGCTCTCCTCCTGGGGTACAGACCTCTTCTGGGAGGATGAGCAGACCAGCTTTGAGGTTGACCTGTTTCTTTTCTTTGTCTGCCTTCCCTAAACACCAGCCCACAGGAGGACATTAAGCAGCCTTAAGCTTAAATTCCTACTCCCTCTTCCCAATTTGGCTCACTTGCCTTAGAGTAAGGGCTAGGAGGGGATAAAAAAGGGGAGTCCCCAGCTTCATTCCTCTCCTAGGTCTTTTCCAGTTTGATTTCCCCAAACCTAGAAAGATTTCCTCTGCCACCTTCATTTGAGAGAAATGAGTACATTGTTCTGTTTTCCTTTTTCCTTATCAAACAGCCCCAGCCTTCCTTGTCCCTTTTAAGTGGGAAGAGGTGTGGTTGATCTGTTCAACTCCCTTCAGTATTTAAAAAAAAAAAAAAGGGCATAACAAATGGGGTTAAGCTGGGGCTGCAAGTAGTGAGGACTCTGTTGATACCTCTCCTGGGATGTGTGTTTTCCTCTATCTCACCTTCAGGAATTACACTGTGCCTTCTCAACAGGGACATGGGCTTTGTCTACCCAGCCCTCCACTTTCCCAGCAACTGCTCTTGAACAGCGTGGACAAGGGCAGGCCTTCACCTTTTTCTCCCAGTGGCATCCCATAGCCCTCACCTGGAGTCTAGGGCACAAAGACTTTGGGGAAGATGGGAGAAATATGCTGAGATTGACCTGAGGAGACCCTTTGTACACACACCAATGGCAGCTGCCCCAGAGCCTGCTTCCTCTTAACCCAGTCTGTCATCCTCTGGGAGGGAGGGGCAGCGCTCCAGTCTCTGGTGCCTAAAACAGGTTTATTTCTCTTTCTCAACATGGGCGATAACCAGTCTCCATACCACTGTGGCCTTTTTAAACCTCTTAATAGTCTCATGCTGTGTTTGTTGTTAATTCCAATCCAATTATCACCAGGGCTGTGTGGGGAATACTTTTAAATGCTCTCTCATCGTTCTTGCTCTTTTTTCTGCCCCCCCCATCTTGTGTATGTATGATGCTAATCTCTTGTCTTTAAGTTTCTTCCTGCTCTTTTGTATCCTCCTTTCTTGTCTCTCCCCCTACCTTTTGTCTCTGGGTATTTTGGGGCGCTTTTTTTTTTTTTTTTTTTTTTTTTGGCCTTTTTGTACAAAGATTAGTTTCAATGTAGTCTGTAGCTCCTTTGTAAACCAATTAAAAAAGTTTTTTTAATAAAAAGCCATGTCTCTGGTGTGTTGACAGGGTGGGAATGGGGAGAATATGGTCATAGCTTCATAGACTGTACCCAACAAAGGTTTCCAGTATATATGGTTGTGCTACCATACATGTTAATCAGTGCAATTACCCTATACTTAACTCCCAGGCAAACAATTTCATGACCAGATCAGTGTGCAATGAGGACATAGAAATGTGGAGGACCAAGAGGAACAGGGCAGGCCCAACCTCTTAAAAAAAAAAAAATATATATATATATATATATATATATATATATATATATATATATATACGTTTTTATTTTGGAATGCTTTTAAATTTAAAGGAAAGCTACAAAGATGGTGCAGAGAGATTCCATATACTTTACTCAGTTTTTTCCATTTTAACATACTATTGGGGTATGTTGTCAAATCTCCAAAACTGATGCTGGTATATTACATTAGCTAAACCCCAGGCTCTGTGTTTCACCAGTTTTCCACTGATGTCCTTCCATTCCAGGATCCATTCTGGGATGCTACATTGCATTTCATTGACATGCCTCCCCAGACTCCTCTGGTCTGTGACAATTTCTTACCCTTTTCTTATTTTTCATGACCTTGACAGTCTGGGAGTATTGACCAAGTATCTTGTAGAATATCTCCCAATCTGAATTTGTCTGATGTTTCCCTCATTCTGAGACTGAGCTTCCAGGTTTTTGGAAAAAATACCACACAGGTGAAATGGTGTGAAATGCCTTTCTCATTACATCCCCTCTGATGCCATGAGAGCCACATGACATCACCAGTGCTAACCATCACCCTGGTTAAGGTAGAGTTTTTGCCAGCTTTCACCACTGTGTTTCCCTATTCTTGGGAAGCAAGTCAGTAAGTCTAGTACACCCTTCATGGAGTTGGTGGGAATTAAGTTTCCCTTCCTAAGGGAAGTAAGTAACTACATGGAGTATTTGTAATTCTCTGAGGAAACCGTCTCTTCTCCTGTCATTAATTTATTTTAGTATATACTCGTGTTTATACTTAGATTGTACATTATTTTCATTGCTCAAATCACCCCAGCTTTGGGCACTGGGAGCCCTTTCAGGTTGGCTCCTGTGTCTCTCATATATCTATATCCTTTTCCTTTTTTGAGCACTTTTCAAAGAATTTTCCAATACACAAGATGATTCAGACTTCCCTTGTATTTTCCCAGCCCCAGCCCTAGAATCAGCCATTTCTCCAAGGAGCCTTAGTTCTTTTTATTGGAGAATGATAATCAAAAACTAAGATCTGGTCCTCACATACTTCACATTCGGTTAATACCAGCCTGTGTCTAACATGATCGAATCTGGATTATGGCCCCATCTGAAACTGAAATTGAAGTTACTTTGACAGTCTTTCCCATCAGCCTATGGCTTCACTTCCCTCCCTACCTGTCCAAGAATCCTTAGTCACTCCTTTATACTGTGGCTACCAGCATCCCCAACTATTTTGCTCATTTGACTCCCTTTGCTTTTCAATCACTTAGCCATGGGTAAACTCAGCCATCAGATTTCCTGTTTAGCCATTAGCAATATAACATTTTAACATTTTGACTTTATTGGGGGAGTATTTTTTTGGTTTGAGGGTTGGGTTTTGGGGTTTTTTTGGGGGGGGTGTTGTAGCCCTAAATGGACCTTTAATAGCAGTATCATCTCGTCATTCAGTAAACATTTATTGGGCCCTTGTCCTAGGTACTGAGCTAGGTTGAGGATAAAAAGTAAGGCAGGTCCTGCCACCACATACTTCATGGTCTGGTGAGTGAGAGAGAGATCATTAATTGTAGGTTTCCAAGTCCTGACCCCACTTTGTAACAGATGCTTTACTTCCTATTTCATGGAGAGAACGTAAGCATGAATTTCCTCAAACTTCCCTCTCTTCTATAAGCAGCCATATACTTGCCAATACTAATTTACCTCCTTATCTTTTCTTGGGAGAGAAAGTTTGCCTTTGCAAGGCCAGCCCTACTACCTGTGCTCTTAACCTCATTTCCTCGTTTTGATAGTATTTTCCCCTTCCATCTTCAGTTTCTCCTGGGTTCCCTTTTGTCATCCTATAAGCATGTTAAAATTCTCCCCCTGTCCCTCTGCTTCCACTTCAAGCTTCAGCTCCAGTTCTTTTCATTTCCAAAGTTAGTCAAAGTAGTTGATTAATTTTTCTCTTCTTTTAATGAGCCCCTCAGGCCACTTTGTTCAGCACCTATCATGTACAAAATTGTTTCTTACAGATATCAGCAATCTGGTTGCCAGCTCTGGCGGTCTTTCAGTCATTTGCCTCTTAGACCTCTTGCAACCATGTGCATCTTAGAGCTTTGTTCCTTGGAGTGTAAGTAAGACTGATTCTCCTTCACAGTCACGTCTTCCTCTGTCCCTTAAGTGTTGGTGTCCCTGTCTTGTGTCCTTACCCTTACTCTACCTTTCAACCCCTTAAACAAGTTGGATCCACTCTTTAGGTATCCCAAATCTTAAGCCCTGCCTTTTCTCTCAACCTGACAGACTGCTTACAGGACATTTTTCTTTTTCTTTTTTTTTTTTTTTAAAGATTTTATTTATTTGTCAGAGAGAGAGGGAGAGAGAGCGAGCACAGGCAGAGAGAATGGCAGGCAGAGGCAGAGGGAGAAGCAGGCTCTCCGCCGAGCAAGGAGCCCAATGTGGGACTCGATCCCAGTACGCTGGGATCATGACCTGAGCTGAAGGCAGCTGCTTAACCAACTGAGCCACCCAGGCGTCCCTTACAGGACATTTTTATCTGGTGTCCCACAGATAACTCAAAGTCAACATGTAAGAAGGGGAAATGATTCTTTGTGTTCCCCATCTCACTTAACAGTAGTAATACTGTTACTTGATCATTTATACTTGAAACCTCAAAACCATCTTTTAATTCTCACTGAAATACCCACACTTAAAAATAAAATCTTAAAAAAAAAATACCCACATTCATTTGATTACCAATCCTGTCAATATTTCCAGTACAATGTATCTCAACTTTTTCCTTTTTTATTTCCACTGTCCTAGTACTCACCATAGCTATGGCTCAGATCTCATAATCTCCCTACTTCTAGTCTCCCCAAACTCTAGTCATCCATCTTCCACATTGCCACCAAACCCCTCCCTAAAATCTTTTGCTTTCGGGAAAAGTCTAGTCTCCTTGATAAAGACCTGAAAACCTTTCCAATCTGGTCCCAGTCTTTTCTTTCTCAGAAAAGACAGGCTGAGACTTAATATTTTCTGAGTTGAATGAATAAACAACTCATGTTAGCCCTGTAGACAGGGGCGGTCAAAGGTAACTTATTGGGCCACTGCAGACTTGAATCAGGATCCTGATGAAGAAAGATCTTTGTGTATGTGGAATCCAGGGAGACTGTTTCAATGCTGGGGTCCTTTCTCAGGACCTTCCTAATCCCTCAGCATTCAAATTATTACCCCTTCTCTTACCACCTCACTCCATAAGCCTGCCTGGGATGTTTCTGTCTTTGAGAGGAGTAGTCATCCAAGGTTTTGGGTGAGGAGGCGGCCTTCCTGCCTCATCCTTATTTTGTTCCCCTCTGGAGGAGGTAGTCTCCTGAAACACTCCAGACACAAGAAACTATTTGACCTTCAAGTCCCCACATGCTCTCCAGCCCCCCAAACTTATCTGATCTGAGAGCAGGAAAATAGCTGTAACGAAGTCCAACATTCCATCTCACTGGCAGGGTTCTGCAGACTCCCAGAAGGTCCCGGGGAAGGATGGGCAGCTGTCCATCTGCCTCTGGCCCTGGTCATTCTCCGTTTGCTCCTTCACAACTACCAGAGCTTTTACTCTCTCCTTCGTTTCTACAGGCTTCCCAGGAGAACGGCTCCAGAATTAGAGAGTTAATACCTATACCCTCAATCCTGGTCTAAGCCAGACTATTCCCAGAAAGGGTTTCTAGGCAACCACCAGGGGGACAGAAGGCTAGGAAAATGGAACCCATCCCCTCTGACTCAGATTCTCAAGGGAGCCAACTGCTCCCAGGTAGGGAAATGATTACCTATTAATGTAATGCTTTACCCTGAGGAAGAGTCTGGTGCAGTTAGACTCCTGTCTCCCATTACAGCACAAGCTATAAACTTCTTCCATCTCTGTGCGGACATTCACGCTGCACACCCTGGGCTCTGCCTTCACATTATACAGTCCCCGCCTCTTAATAAATACAGGAGATGGACTATGGACATCAGTCATCAGAGGAGGCTGAAGCACCCTGAGTTTCTCCTATGTCTGCTGACCTCTGGTGGCGGTAGTTTGAACTGTTTGCTCCCTTTCTAGTTCATGGCCGGCTGGCAGGTAATGATGTGTATTTTCTCAACAATCTAAATTCTAACATTCAATTATTGTATCAGAGGGAAATATTTTTTAAAGATTTTATTTATTTATCAGAGAGATAGAACACAAGCAGGGGAGCAGCAGGCAGAGGGAGAAGCGGGCTCCCCGCCAAGGAGGGAGCCCAATGCGGGACTCCATCTGAGGACCCGAATCATGACCTGAGCTGAAAGCAGACACTTAACCAACTGAGCCACCCAGGCATCCCTGGAAATATTTTTTATTGCTGAGTTTTTTGTTTGTTTTCAGGCATCATAGACTAATGTGAAGAGTAAGGCCTGGGCTTTGGAATCAGACTTACCTAGGTTCAAATCCTAGCTCTGAGTTAAGCCTCTACCTCTGGTTCAGGTCATGATCTCAGAGTCCTGGGATCGAGCCCCACATCGGGCTCTCTGCTCAGCAGGGAGCCTGCTTCCTCCTCTCTCTCTGCCTGCTTCTCTGCCTACTTGTGATCTCTCTCCCTGTCAAATAAATAAATAAAATCTTAAAAACAAAACAAAACAAATACTAGCTCTGCTATTTCCTAGCAGATTGACCTTGGGCAAGTTACCTAAGCTCAGCTTTCTTACCTGTACAGTGAAAATAATAATAAATAGCTCAATGGGAGAATAAAATGAGATGATTGTAAAATGCATAGCCCTAGCTATGCCCTAGCACATAGGTACTCAATAGAAGTGTTGTGGTTTTTGGGTTTTGTTTTGTTTTGTTTTGACCTTCTCTGATTATTTTTTTCAGTATTTGACTCAATATGATTTTTAAAATTTTGGTAACATAAAATTTTACCATTATACCCATTTCCAATGTGACTTTTTTAAACTCTGAGAAATTTTATATAACTCTTTTCTGATTCTGAAGTTTGGAAACTGAGATCAACTTTAGTCTGTGAAGCCTCTCTTTGCGGAGAGAGCTGCACATCTGAGCCCTGAAAAGAAGGGATCTTGGGCACAGTTGAATCCCTCAGTTGACCTCACTCTGGTTTCTAGCCTAGAAGGGCTGACAGGATCCAGCACTTTCTTCCAGGGTCAGCAAAGGGCAGAGGCCTGAAGTTAGGCATCACAGGGTTCTCAGCTGGGCCTCTAAGACCCCCTCCTCCCACTTTGCAGAGAAAGGAGGCGGCTGCAGAGAAGAGGATATGAGCTCCGTTCTCTGCTCCTCCCTCTCCTTGCTTTTCCCCACACCCATCTTCTCCCCCACAGCAGCCGTCTCCCCCACAGAGACTGGGAAGAGGGAGGAGGGCAGGATTGGGCACTGAGGGATCAGAAGCCCCACAGCGCCCTATATCTGAAGGAAGCTCTGGCCAGGGGAGCTGTGCTGGTTCATGCTCACCACCTCATGCTGCTTGTCCCCTCCAGCATGATGCTGGGGACTCTGGGCCTTTGCGTACTATTTCCCACAGCTGTGCGAGGTAAGTGTCTACGGGGGGGTGCTTTTCACTCACCCACTGAGGGAAAGGGGGACTTGAAGCAGCAGCCACCCCTCTGGAAGAGTAAGTGGGGTGGGTGAGTGAGGGCAAAAAGTAGATCCATGTGTCCCCATGGTGAGGTCAGGTTCCAGACCTCTGCTGACCCTGTTTCCTCTTACGGCATTACCATGATGGCCCTGGGATATGAAACATGTTTTGTGTCTCCTTTTTGGCTGCTGCTTTTGCCCCTGCATTCACTCCCATCTTGAACCTTCCCCTCTCCCCACCCTGGGCCACAGCACCCCCAAGCAGGCGGACCTGTGTGTTCTTTGAGGCCCCTGGAGTGCGGGGAAGCACAAAGACACTGGGGAAGCTGCTAGATGCAGGACCAGGGCCTCCCAGGGTTATCCGCTGCCTCTACAGCCGCTGCTGTTTTGGGATCTGGAACCTGACCCAAGACCAGGCACAGGTGGAGATGCAAGGTGAATGGCAAAGTATACAGCAGGTGGAAGCTAGGGTGGGAGTCAGGTACATCCTGGGGTGGGGGTGACAGCAGCGGGAGAGGAGGAGAAATGGAATATACAGAGGGAAAGAAAAGCCCGAATGAGATGGAGGGGATGCCTCTGATAGAGAAGGGGGTTATCCTCTGTTCCCAGACTCTATTATGCTCGCTTGCCCTCTCTCTCTCTCCCTCTCTCTCCTCTTCTAATCCCACCTCAATCAGGATGCCGAGACAGTGATGAGCCAGACTGTGAGTCCCCGCACTGTGACCTGAGCCCCCGAGCCCACCCCAGCCCGAGGTCCACTCTCTTCACCTGCTCGTGTGGCACTGACTTCTGCAATGCCAATTACAGTCATCTGCCTCCTCCAGGGAGCCCTGGGACTCCTGGCTCCAACACCGTCCCAGGTAGCCACGCAGGGTGCTGGGGCCTGTGAGGGCCTGGGGCCCAGGTTAGGGCGAGAGGTAGAACCAGGGCCAGTTCTCACCCTACCCCCATCCCAAGTTTTCTTCCTCCTGGCCTTGAGAAGTTGGTTGCCCTGGTGACTGGGAGATAAGGGGCTTGTGACCAAGGTGGGGGTGGGTCCAGAAGCAAGTTCTCTAAGGAGGGGAAAGGAGTGGAGTGGATTTGGGGCAGGGCTCATCCAGGCTGCATTCTTGCTTTAATATCTAGGCAAGTCCATCTGGATGGCGCTGGTACTGCTGGGACTATTCCTGTTCCTCCTGCTGGGCAGCAGCATCCTGGGTACTAATCTACTTCATCCATCCCTTGTCATCCCCGGTCACTGCCCCAAAGCTCTCGGCCCTTTCCAGCTTCCCCTGATCCCACGGTTCTAAGATCTCTACAGCCTGAGCCCATTACCTCCCACAAAGCCCCTTTCTCAGTCTCCATGCCTGTGTACCCTGACCCAAGGGCTCTTTTCCGCCCCAGCCCTGCTACAGCGAAAGTCCTGCAGAGTGCTGGGTAGGTCAGCGCCAGAGCCAGAGCCAGAGCCAGAGCCAGAGCCAGAGCCAGAGCTGGAATCAGGCAGGGACTGGAGTGCTGAGCTGCCTGAGCTGCCTGAGCTGTGTTTCTCTCAGGTGCCCAGGGAGTCGGGGGGGCAGGTCCTCTGGTCCCTCCTGGAGGGTGTGCTGGGGAGGAAGCCTGGTCCTGATGCGAGCTGAGGCTCACACCCAGCACCGTGTTTCCACCAGGTCATCTGGGAAGGAGGTCATACAGTGGTGTGGGCTGGGCAGCTGCAAGGCAAACTGGTAGCCATCAAGGCCTTCTCCCGGAGGGCTGTGGCCCAGTTCCAAGCCGAGAGAGCGTTGTACGAGCTGCCAGGCCTACAGCATGACCACGTTGTCCGCTTTATCACCGCCAGCAGAGGGGGCCCTGAGCCCCTGCCCTGTGGGCCCCTGCTAGTACTGGAATTGCACCCGAAGGTGAGGACGGAGAGGTGTCTGTGTGTCTGTGCCTGTGTGTGTATGGGGGTGCCGGGCTAGGGGAGAGCAGGGGACTGCTTGCGCTTATTCTTCTGCTCCAGATTTCCTCTTCTCTAGAACATGAAAAATGATTTTTTTTTTGTTTTCTTGGTTTTTTTTTATTAGTCAAGAAATACTTGCTAATATTTTTTACTCATGAGACATAGAAAAGGAGAAATCAAAACCACTCATATTCCCAACCTTAAGGAAAACCAATGTTAAAGAAATATCTCAAGGCACAGCCCTCCAAAGCCATTTACACACTCATCCAACGAGTACTTATGAACCTTATGAACCATATGCCGAACCTCCTGGGCTAAGACAAAGAGCCTCATCCTTGCCTTTGTAGATTTGAGAGGGTAGTGGGGGAGACAGTAGTGAATCAGGTAAACACAAAAATAAGCATCAAATGTCAAGTGTGCTAAGTGCTGAGAGAGGAGGTACTGTGAGAGAAGAACAAGGGGATGTGCCTCGAGGGGACGATCATGAACAGGAAGGATGAGGAGGACAAGGTAGGCAGGGACCAGGCTGCCCCTGTCCCTATGGACCGTCTAAGGACTAAAGACTTTATTAGCCCCTGCAGTCCTCTCCCTCTGAAATCCTGAATCCGGAGAAGTCCCCTTTTTGACCATGTGCCTTAATGCCTAGCTCAACAACGTCTGCTTTCCTGGGTTGGTTGGTTGGTTGGTTGGTTGGTTGGTTGAACCTCCCTGGGACACTGAAGTCATGTTTGTGGAATGAGGGACACAAATGCTCCTTCCCTTCCCGGTTTCCTACTTGCTCCCCTCCTTTCCCTCTCCTTCCCAGAGGCTCTTAGAGGAGGGGGCGCCTGACACCGCAGGCCAGGTGGTTCCCGGGGAATACCACTCCTGAGCTCGCCCTGCCTCTTCCTCTTCTGTTGGTGTCTCAGGTCCCTAGGCCGGATAAGGTGGTGACTCGTGAGTGACCCTAGAGTCAGACTGCTGGGGTTCCAGCTCTACTTGCTTTTCACAAGTGACTTCCAGCAGGTTTACTTCATTTTCTTTCAATCTCCTTGTCTATCAGAGGAGTGACAGGCCCCTGTCTCCTAGGGTTGTGAGGACTGCAGGAGGCCTGGCACAGTAAGCACTCAGACACTTAACTAGGGCTACTATTTTCCCGTCGGTCTGACAGAGGCACGTTCTCATTCCTCCCTGCCTCTTGTCTCGGCCTGGATGGATCAGCATGTCCATCTGCTGGGAAAGGCAGGGGGAGGTCTGTAGACTGATCTCTGCTGCCCGGGGCAGATCGGCCACCTCCAGCTTATGTGTCCTCCTTTTCTCTCTGCTGTTCCCCAGGGCTCCCTGTGCCACTACTTAACCCAGCACACCAGTGACTGGGGAAGTTCCATGCGGATGGCACTGTCTCTGGCGCGGGGCCTGGCATTCCTCCATGAGGAGCGCTGGCAGGATGGTGGGTGAGCCGGAAGGAGGAAGCCATGGAATCAGGAGCCACCCGCTGTGCTTCTGATTCTCCCTTAGCTTGGAGGGGAAGAAGAGGGTCCAAAAAGAAAGGAAGAGGACCCATGCCCCTTCAACCTTGGCTTCTCTCACAGGCCAATATAAACCAGGGATCGCCCACCGAGATCTGAGCAGCCAAAATGTGCTCATTCGGGAGGATGGGTCATGTGCCATTGGAGACCTAGGCCTCGCCTTGGTGCTCCCTGGCCTCACCCAGCCTCCCACCTGGGCCCCTACTCAACCCCGAGGCCCTGCTGCCATCATGGAGGTGAGTACTCTGGGTGATGGTGAGGCCCGGGATGACGGCAGTGTTGCTGATGAAGGCGCGCTCTTTGCTGGGGCAACGGAACAGCAGTACTTCTGACGTTTAGGACGTTGCTGACTCTAGCTGGGGGGATACTGCATGGACCAGTGTTGTGGCAAGGCTTGCCAGGGAGATGACTCTTGGCCCTCCATGTCTTTCTCTCCAGGCTGGCACCCAGAGGTACATGGCACCAGAGCTCTTGGACAAGACTCTGGACCTACAGGACTGGGGCACGGCCCTCCGTCAAGCCGATGTGTACTCTCTGGCTCTGCTCCTCTGGGAGATCCTGAGCCGCTGCCCAGATCTGTGGCCGGGTAAGAATGGGTATGACCGTGCCCCCTTTTCCTCCCATAACTAACCCACCCATTCTAGATGCACCTACCTCCTGATGCAGGAAGTTCTGCCTTTCTCCTTCTTGGCCTTTCCATGAGGAGGCACCCCAGGACTAGTTGACATCTAGCCCTATGTGCCTTTCCCCAGACAGCAGACCACCACCCTTCCAGCTGGCCTATGAGGCAGAACTGGGTAGCACTCCCAGCACCTGTGAGCTGTGGACCTTGGTGGTAGAGGAGAGAAGGCGGCCCTGCATCCCGCCCACCTGGCATGGCTTCACCACAGTAAGAACCCACCTGCTAGTGGGCTGGGGACCTGGAGAGTGTGGACCAGCCCATCTGCTCCTCTCTCCTCTCATCTATCCCCACTCCTGTCTCCTGTTCAGCTGGAGCTGGGCAGATCTGCTCTACACCTTGGCTCATCCCCTTCCGCCATAAGTCTCACAGCCCATTCCTGAAACAGACACCTTCCTCCTGCTCACACTTGCCTGGTCTGTCTCTCTTCCTCTCCACCATTGGTTAGCCCTATTTCTCAGTCCCCTCCTCCAGGAAGGCCTCCTTAGCTTTGCTTCTGCCTGAGCTCTGCTCCCAAGATGGCTCCTCTCCTGTTACAATGGAGCCCAACGTTCAATCCAGTAATTCCTTGCGCTGTCCCACACATTCGTGTTTCTGCTATGACCCACTAAAAGCCAGTCCTGGGTGTAAAGGGCTAAAAAGGTGGCCAAACAGTGAAATTTCAGGGTCTGTATAATTAGTTTCCTAGCAGGAAGCCCCTTACCCTGCTACCTGATCTGTAATTTCCACAGTACAACTATCTCTGGGGTTAACCATTGTTTGCCTAAGACCCTGGTCGCCTGAAAGGAAGAGGAGTAATTTCCCATCAGCATGTGAAGTCATTAACCTGAATTAGCTCCTCAGAGGAAAAGATGGACCCTCTGAGGGCCACTGAGGATCCCAGGATTAAGCCTGCTTCCTGTTCTTCCCAGGACCCTGGCGGCCTGAGAGAGCTGCTGGAGGACTGTTGGGATGCGGACCCAGAAGCAAGGCTGACGGCAGCATGTGCTCAGCAGCGTCTGGCCGCCCTGGCCCATCCTCAGGAGGCCCACCCCTTCCCAGAGAGCTGTGCCCAAGGCAGCCCACCTCTCCGCCCAGAAGACTGCCTCTCAGGCTCTCCCCATGGCCATCCCCCCTTGTAGGCCTCAGTGGAACGTCTGCTACTTCAGCCTCCAGCAAGGCCTTTGTTCCGGGGGTCCTCCCACACTGTGTCTCACCTGTAAATGTGCAACTTACGTATAATCTCTGTACGTGCAAACATAAATCTGGTGCTCCGATGCCTGACTGCTGTGTCTCACCATTGCCTTTCCAACCTGCCAGTTGCCTAGATCCTTCTGTGGGTGTCTAGTATAGGGCAGTCCCGATCGGGGCCTGAGGGGTGGGTGTGCATAGGAAAGAGATAAAGTCAGCTTTATCTCCCTGTCCTTGGGCCTTCCCCATCTTCTGGGGATCCTGGGCTCCTCCTGTCTCTCTTCTTTTCCTTCACTATCATAAGCCTACTTTTGGTGGGATCACGTGGCGGTCATTGGGGAAAGATGACCTCACCAGTCCTCCCAGAGACGCACAACTCCCCTTGCTAGAGGCCTGCCTGGGGTCCTGAGGCTTGAGCAGGAAGGCCTCACAGAGCACAGGAAACTTGGCTGTTCAGTGAGCAGTTTTCCAGGAGAGGCGGGGTCAGTAGGTTGAGTGTTGCAGGGTGAGGGACGAAACTGCAGGAACCTGGGGAGCAGAAGTGTAGGGTGTGTGGAGGAGAGAGAGCAGAGGTTCTGTGGAAAACTGTAGGCAAGGCCTTGTGAACCCTATTGAGAAGTTCTTCCTTCATGTCTTTTTGTGTCTTCTCTATTGGCTTTTCTTTCCCACCCCAGGCCCCTTTTATACGCCCCACAGAGGCATTTCATGCTGGGTGCCTGGTTTATAGCCCTCATTCAGTTTCTTTTCTTTTCTTTTCTTTTTTTTCTTTTTCTAAAGAGTTTTTTGTTTGTTTGTTATTAATTTAAGTAATCTCTATACCCAAAATGGGACTTGAACTCCTGACCTCAAGATCGAGTCGCATGCTCCTCTGACTGAGCTAGCCAGCTGTGCCCCCGCCACCCCGCCTACCCCCACAGTTTAATTTCTAACAGTGCTCTTGGGGTAGGTTACATTCTCTTTCTAGGTGTCCAGTTTCTCATTTGCTAAGTCAGGGGGTTCAGGCCTTCTGGTATAACTCCAGTAGAGCAATGGGGAAGGCTTTGACTCCCCACAATCCTGGTCAGTGACCAACGAGCACTGTGTCTTTGAGTAAGTTAATTAACCCTAGGAATCTGTTTTATCATGTATAAAATATGGGTAAAAACACCTACCCTGCTTGCAAAGTTGATTCGGGGTAAACAAGAAATGGTGACAGGTCTTGTGCAGCCCCTGGCCTCAGTGGACACTTCTGTAAATGGTAGCAGTTGTTTCTGAACATTGAGATGATCTCTCACCCCTTTCCATGTTAGTTGTTCCAGCATTAACCTCTGCAGAGCCTGTCCGCTCTCAAGCCCTGAGGCTTCACTGTTCTTCAGCACTCTAATCCTCAATAAGACATCATCACAGGAACAGGCAGCCACCACCTGAGAAACTAAGCACATCGAAATCCAAGCTCCTGCCTCCCCCTCACCATCAGGGCTGCCTTCCCCTTTTCCCTGGCTCTCAAGTGCACCAAGTCTCTCTCTCTCTTTTCTGGCAATTTCTACACCCAACATGGGGCTCAAAATCACGACCCTGAGATCAAGGGCTGCGTGCTCTTCTGACTGAGCCAGCCAGACACCCTGCACTAAGTTTCTCTTGGTCCTAGAGGAGCCCAACAAGGAAGGTGTTCTGTCTGCTCTGTGACCCCACCTTGTCCCACCCACCCATATCCAGTCGGTTCTCCAGTCCCACTGAGGTTGCATGGGTGGGGACTGCTCCTCTTCCTAGGCTGGCAGACCCCAACTATTATAACTGCCTCTTGGCCACCTATTTCCCCCCCAGTCTTGGTTAAACACCAGGCTCTGAATATTCTTTATTATTTTTTAAAGATTTTATTTATTTATTTATTTGAGAGAGAGAGAGCTTGAGAGAGAGAGACAGATCTCTCTATCTCTCAGACAGGGGCAGAAGGGGAGTGAGAAGCAGACTCCCCACGGAGCAGGGAGCCAGCCCAATGTGGGGCTCAATCCCAGGACCCTGGGATCATGACCTGAGCCGAAGGCAGATACTTAATGACTGAGCCACCCAGGTGCCCCAAATGATTTTTTTTTTTAAGATTTATTTATTTATTTATTTGACAGAGAGAGAGAGAGAGATCACAAGTAGGCAGAGAGGCAGGCAGAGAGAGAGGGGGAAGCAGGCTCCCTGCTGAGCAGAAAGCCTGATGCGGGACTTGATCCCAGGACCCTGAGATTCTGACCTGAGCCGAAGGTAGAGGCTTAACCCACTGAGCCACCCAGGTGCCCCCCGAATGATTTGTTTAAAACGAAAATTAGATCATGTCATTCCCATGCTCAATACCTTTCAGAGACTTCCATTCACACTTAGAATAAAATCTGAACTCTTTCCCATGGCTTACAAGGATCTAGAAATACTTGCACCACACTCCTACACTTACGTTGATTCTTTTTTCTCCATAGCATATACACATTGCTGTCTGACACTTTATTGTATATTTATATTTTGCCTCTCCCAATATTACCTCAGAAAGGCAAGGATCTTTTTCTATTGTTTTCACTTAATCCCCAGTGCTTAGAATAGTACCTAGCTGGCTTGAGAAATACTTGCTAAATGAATGAATGACAGAAGTATGGTAAATAATTACTGACTTAATGAATGAGCTGAAATGAACTTTAAAAACATTGTTTAATGCTTTAAAAATAATCTGAGTTTAGGTGCGCCTGAGTGGCTCAGTCATTAACCATCTGCCTTTGGCTCAGGTCATGATCTCCGAATCCTATGATGGAGCCCCACGGCAGGCTCCCTGCTCAGCGGAGAGTCTGCTTCTCAATCTCCCTCTGCCTTAAAAAAAGGGCGCCTGGTTGGCTCAGTGGGTTAAAGCTTACTCTACCTTCGGCCCAGGTCATGCTCCCAGGATCCTGGAATCGAGCCCCGCATCAGGCTCTCTGTTCAGTGGGGAGACTGCTTCCCCCCCCCAACCGCCTCCCTCTCTGCCTACTTGTGATCTCTGTCTGTCAAATAAATAAATAAAATCTTAAAAGGAATAATCTGATTTTAAATCAGGAAGAATTTCCCAACTAGCAGGTAGGTGAAGATATACATGGAGGACATTGGTGCCCTGTGAGGGTCCTGCAGAGAGGTTAAAATCAGGCTAGTCTGATAGTAATCATTCATCATATTAATGAGAATCATGATATACTAGCACCTAATATGTGCTTATTACGTGACAGATACATGTTTTTCTCATTTCAACCACCCTACAAGGTAGGTACCATTGCCACTATTTTACAGATGAGAGAACTGATTGATGGTCTAAGGGGTTTAACTAATTCAAGGTCGCACAATAAGTGGCAAAGCCAGAATTTGGCTCTCGAAGCCGTCTGACTGATTGCACAACCACCATGTTCTATTCCTCTTTGTTCATTCATTCGTTATTCATTCATGTAGTTACTCATTTAATAGCTTTTTCATTAATACCCTCCTATGTACCAGGCACCATGTGAAGCATTAAGTGTTAATGAACACAGTCCCTGCTCTCAAGGAGTCTAATGTAGAAAGCCGATACTAATCAAGTAATTATTGATTGATTCATGTATGATTATAAACTGAGATGGATATGATAAAGGAAAGGCAAGATTCTACCACATGCTACAACATACAAATCTCACCTAACTAGGGTGTCAAAAAGGTTTCCTGAAGAAGTAATTCTGACGGGGGTGGGGGGTTGGGTGAGCCTGGTGGTGGGTATTAAGGAGGGCACGTATTACATGGGGCACTGGGTGTGGTGCATAAACAATGAATTCTGGAACACTGAAAAGAAATAAAATTTTTTAAAAAGGAAGGAAAAAGAACAGAAAATATTCAGTTAAGTGAGAAAAAATAACAAATAAAAGAACATTTCATTTATACAGTAGAATTTAAAAAAAAAAAGAAGTAATTCTGGAGCTGAGAGTTGATGAATGATCAGGAGTTAATTAGGCTAAGTGGAGAGAAATGGGGAACATTCCAGGCTGAAGGGAGTAAGGGCAAAGGCCCTCCTGCAAAAGGAACCAAGATCTGAAGGGATGAAAAAAGCTTAAGGGTTGGAGGGCAGAAAGCCAGGAGTGAATAGTATGAGAAGAGACCAGAAAGGTAGTAGGGCAAGACCACTGCAGGCTACAGTGATAAGATTTTGAGTATTTCTTTACTGAATGCCTTTAGGGAAATAGACACTCATACACTGGTGCTGACGATGTAAATAAATATAACCTCTATAGAGAGTAATTTATCAATAACTACAAAAAGTAAAAATGTTAAAGACATATACACATGGTTATTTACTACAACATTGTTTTTAATAGTGCAAGATTGAAAACAATGCAAATATCCACTGACTGGTCGAATTGATTATGGTACATCATACAAAAGAATAAAATGAAGTCGTGAAAAAGACAAAACACACTCTGTGTACTGATATGAAAATATCTCCAAGATGTACTAAGTGGGGGGGAAAGCTTCAAATTAAACTCTGCATAACTAGTTTTTATATTCTAAATGGGGGATATACATTTACATCAGTATTTGCTTGATTGTAATGAAGAAACTGTGGAAACATATATAAGAAACTACAGGGGTTGTGTGGATAGTGGAAGGCTATTGGTAGGTAGCTGAAGGTAGATGTAAGAACAAGAGTGGGAGGGAGACTTTTCACTTTATACCTCTTTATCCTTCCACATTTTGCAATCAAGTGAACATATTACCTTGTCAACAAAAATGAATACATATGTGTAAAAATAATTGTGATATTTGTCTTAAAGATAATGCAAAGCCATTAAAGACACCATCTCACACCTACTAGGATGGCTGTACTGATAAAGACAGACAGTAACAAGTGTTGGGCCAGATGTGGAGAAACTGGAACCTTCATACATTGCTAGTGGGAATGTAAAATGATATGGCTATTTTGGAAAAAAGTCTGGCAGTTCCTGAAAAAGTGAAACACAGAGTTACTGTATGACCCAGGGATTCCTCTGGAATTCAGAGCACTGTGCAACCATCACCATTGTGTTGGTATAACCAATAGGATTGAAAACATATGCTCACACAAAAATTTGTACATGAAAAAAAAATCTATTGATAAAAAAATTTGTACATGAATTGTCATAGCAGCAATATTCATAATAGGCAAAAAGTAAAAACAATTAAAATGTCCATCATCATATGAATGGATACAACAAGATGTGGCATATCCATTCAGCGGAATGTTATTTAGTACTTCCTTCATAAAAAGGAATGAAGCAGCACGCCTGGGTGGCTCAGTGGGTTAAAGCCTCTGCCTTCGGCTCAGGTC